TTCTGTTCGTGACCTGACATGACCTCGGGGACATAACGAGGGGTCACAGTTGCCATTTTCCGGTTCAGTGTGTCAATTTTACCTACATCGCGATGTTTGAGAGTGTCTTGAATAGTGTTCGTGCAAAACAGACGCTTTTCAATTTTCTCCCATTGAAATGGAGAGGCCGCAAAATTGACCTGACCTTAATGTCTATGTTAACTGTGTCAAATGCCTTTCGGATATCCAAATAAAGCCCACATACAATATGATTTAGTTCGAAAGCACTCAAGATCTTTTCTTTTTTGCTACAAGCATACACAACAGGAATAGATAGGTATCGATAGGTAAACGGCAAGGGGGTGGGGGGAATAGATAGATAAACGGCAAGGGGGTGGGGTCCGCTGTATCCCCCCTTGCCGTTTCGCCCCTGATCAAGCTAGAGCTTCGCGGAAAAAAACGAGCGTGTTGCCCGTGACGAGAGGAAGCCGATGACACCCAATTTTAAGGCCCTAGGCCATCGGTTGACCTTCCAGGTCAGGTCAATGACCCAAAAGTCGGGAAAATCGGGACCTGTTAGAAAGTCGTAAAGCGTGGCTGCTATGGGTTTTTTTCGGGGTGCTGATCACGAATATCATGTTAGTTTTGATCACAGATGATGTCTTCATGCATTTAGGCCAGGTCGGGTCAGGTCAGGTCAGGTCAACCAGTAAGGGTATTCGTAGTAGGTGGCAACCGCCTCTGACAGCTTCGTAACATGTTACGAAGGCACCAAAACTACTTCATGAAAGTTCAAATGGTTGCTAAATTCGAATTCAGCTCCAAAAACTAGCCTAGAAACATGTAAATCTCGAAAAAGTGAACCGAGCTAATCGTTATCTGAAATAGGAATTGAAACGTCACGTTAATCGTTATCTGATCACTGATGTCAAGGTCACCTTGACATCCACCCTAATGCATGGGACCAGTGGGATAGGTAATGGGGCCATGCATCATTCAGATGCTAGTGTTGATCAGGATGAAAGGTATGTGCCGTCGATTTTGGGCGAAATAGAAAGTATCCTTGACTTTTCTATTGTCGTCGACTCAACTCGGGAAACTACGTCATTAGATGCCTTGCAAAATCCCGCTGGGTTTGTGAATGGGGTGTTATGATCTAGCTTTGCGGTGATTTTCAGCCAAGTCGAAGAGGCCGTCGAATTCGAGCATCTGCTGAATGCATGATTATGAATGAACTTATGTAGAACTGCTGTTACATCTTTACAAATAACATTATTTTGGCTGGGCGAAAATTTGTCATGCGTCGCGAATTAGAGCCCATTGACCTGTGACTTTTCGGTGACACATCAACAAATGAGGAGACATACTTCAACAAGCAATCATATGATGACCTTTCGACGTTACATAAAAAATAGCATATATCCGACGAAGTCAGGTGGTGAAGCGATTTTTTTTTAATGAGCCAATCCAATATTCAATAATGGTAAAGCACGGCATCTCTTTTAATTATATTATCGAACCGGCAATACGAGAGTAGCAGCGACAAAACACAAGAGACAGTGTGCCGCCCCTGTCGGCAGCAGTGCGGCCGGACCGTTTATCTTGTCCCGGTCGGCCTCAGCAACGGACACTGGCGCACCTCCGAGGCACCCGTGTCAGAAGCACGCACCGACCGCGTCAGAAACACGCACCGCTCGGGGAGAGGCCGTGGGGAGATCACATGGCCTCGTCCGAGTCCGAGTCCTCCTCCAGGGCCGCCTTGGCGTACCGCTCGGCGGCCTCGTGCACGTCCTGTGGGCCGGGGAGGACGGGTGTCACCACGGCGCTGGATAGCCACAGACCACACGCAGACAACAGAGAGCCGCCTGGTGTCCGCAGTGGAAGTTGTATGAGTCGGAGAGGGGCGACACCACTCAGCGCACAGCTCACAGAGCCGATAAAGACACCATACCTCCTGACCGGAGGAGCTCCGGCAGACAGCAGACTCACCTTCGGCACGAGCTGGTGGCGACCGCCAGTGTGCTCGCCCACCCAGCTCAGCTCCAGCTCGAACTCCTTGTCCTTGACCTCGTCATGAATGACGTAGATAATTTTGGCAGCCTCCTTGATCAATTCGGCGCAGGTCAGCTCAGAGGTTTTGAGCTTTTCGATCTCGGTCTTGGCCGACTGGCGCGCCTTGCCGATGGAGCAGCCGTAGTAGCCCTGTGGCACACAAGGAACGTGTCACAAAATCCGAGAGTATGCCGGTAAACTCCAAGTGGCATCGTACAGCAGACAGAAGATAGCTCTGCACCGCGTACAGGGAGCAGCTGCGAGAGTCGATAAACGCCGCAAACAAGAAATTAAAATGCTTCTAAAAGCTAGACACATGGAAAACAGTATTAGCGAATTATATATCAATCTCAGTAGAGACTACTAAGTAGCTCAATGAAATTCATGCCTAATATAAATTAGGTAAGTGGGCAATGGGTATTCCTTCCATCGCATTGAATGTGACCTTGTAATTCTCTACATCGCACATACCGGCGGTCGGCGGTTACTCACGAAATGCACGCCCGAGGGGTCCGCCATGAAGAGTTCGGGCCCGTCCTCGCCGTAGGCGGCCATCATTACGCTGCAGCCGAACGGGCGCACGAACGAGTAGAGTGTGTAGGCGTGCAGGTACATGCCGAGCCGGTCGGCCAGGTGGCGGACCGGGATGGGCGCGCTGTAGTCGGCCCGGTAGTTGGACGCCTCAGTGCGCGCCGTCTCAGCGAGAGCGCGCGCGTCGGCAATCAGCCCGGCCACCGCCTACACGGGGGACGAAATAACTGAGCTGAGAGGCAGGTGCAACAATCCAGCAGAGGCGTGCTTCATTGACATTCACTGATACTTGATCATTGACACATTCATTCAATGGGGAAGAAAGGAAATACACATGACAGCACCAGTGCAGACGAGACAAAGCCAACAGAACAGGAACGTACCAATCCCACGTGGCGATCCACTGTGAAGATGCGTTTGTTGGTTGACTGCTCAAACAGTTTGGATGTGATGATCTTCTCAACTGCAAACACAACACCATCCTTGCCACGCAGACCTATAACAGTGCTGTGGGTACACAGATCAGTTGTCAGCCAGTCTATTGAACATTCTGTATATGCAGTTCATTATTTTACCCATGCACTGTGCTTCCATGCCTAATTCATATCCATTTATCTACAACCCTGTCAGATTAGATATCTCTGTTATTATCTGGGCGAAGTGATATGATACCTAGCAAACAAAAACTTATCACAATAAACTTATCTGCATTTGGGTTTTTACCTTTACCAATAAATGAGCACCAAGGGTATTGTACTCTAACCATTGTACTCTAACATTCCTAACTGTGTGTTCATTATTTATTCAAACTAAAAGTTTAAATGAGTAAATGACAAAACAAGGAAAAAAGACAAAACAAAGCTGACTCACCCACTGTTTTCCACAGCTTTCTGGGCATATTCTACTTGGAACACTCTGCCATCTGGTGAGAATTGTGATGCTGAGAGATCATACTGGAAAATGCAGAAAGCTCAGTCAAATGATGCACAGTTTTTCATATACACTACGAAGTTGAAAAGGCAGTTATACCTGCCCTTAGCTAAAATCTTTAATATTTTCAGCTGATACCTATTCATTATGAGTTGGCGTAAGGATATCATCATCTTGGATTAAAAACAACTACTTGCTAAGACAATTAATGACATTGATGAAGCACAAAACCATACAGCATTCTACATAATATTCTGGCATTTCAAATGATGTCACTCAATATTTACTGAAGAAATTTCACCATAGCTTGATAAGAATATCACATGCAAGAGCCCATTCCCTATGGCACAATACACATATTACAGTTCCAATTAGGTTTCCATGGTTTCATCAACAGACTCAGGTGCTCTAGAACATTGAGGCTATCTGAGATTGTTAATGACTGATGTTTCCATGGATACCCAAGAGCGAGATATGCGCACTGTTGTGTCATGCAGTTAAACAAAGCTAGTATGTATGTATTTATGTATGTATGTATGTATATGTATGTATGTATGTATGTATGTATGCATGTATGTATGAATGTATTTACGATCGTGGGCGATCCACACATCAACATGGCATGGCAATTACTGCCGCAATGTGTGATAGTAGCAGACAAGGTCTACTGGACAAGATATAATTAAATAGGATCTTGCAGCAATTTCCTGCCTGCTGAAAGAGCCTGTTTCTGCCTTAATATCTTAATTAATATGATAACAGATAACAATAATAAAAAATAAAAACACTTTTGCACCTACCCCTGTGCCAATGGAGCTCATGATGAAGAGCAAGGAATACAATGGCAATGAAAGCGACCAGTGTATCAATGAAGGTGGAATACAGCAGGTTTGGTTACTTTCACCTACTACCTGGAAGGAAATAAAAAAATTAATGCAAAAAATGAACTGCGAGTTCGCCGTATACGCAGGAAACACCGGCAACCACGAAGTGCATGAATCAACAAAATTGACAAAATAATGTTCGATAGTTCCATTTCCAGATGAGTAAGCTATGAAGAAACCAATGGAACACCGTTTGAAAATCTGTTGCTAGGCAATCACACAATAGGGATGCGAATAGCACTAACAGCATGCTTCCTTGAACATAGCTTACTAAAAAATCGCAGCACTAGGAATGAAACACATGCGCATTTTATGTCACCTAATAGTGATGGACAAGTACTTGCAGCTGCCGCTTTTAGAGATCCAGTATGTATTGTTCCCTTTGCTTAGATAATTTTGGCATTTTGTTTAGCTTTTCGTCCATAAAATGCGGGATCTGCTGTAACCTGACATTTTCTCGCGGTTTCAAGCGGCCACGCATGGGCCACGCCGAGAAGACGCCGACCGGCGCCCATTTTCTACAAAACGTACAAAACAATCGCCATTTCGCGTCGCTAACGCCTACAACGTTTCAAAGTAAATTTGACTAGTGTTTGCTTAGGGAGTGACCCAATATCTGACGTCACAAAACCTAGTAAATTGACTTAAAAATGCCTTAGGTTTCAGATATTACAATGCACATGTTGATGATTCTTAGCAGTAACAATCGCTTATACAATATATTGAAATACTTTTGAGCTTTTGAGGAATATTTTAACACTAACTCATTTATCCTGAAAACCTTGACCAATCAGCTGCATAGACTGTTGTGACGTATTCAGTGTGAATTCTACTTTCCCTTTTTCGATGCTCACTTTCTCTTGAGGGCACGCGGTGCGGAGAGGAAGACAATCGCGAATTGGTCGGATTACATTTATTGAATTATTTTTACTAATTGCAGGTTCTGTGTTTAATCTTTGTGAATCTAATAATCTCAATCTGTAAAAGATGAGTGTGGACCCGACTAAAATGAAGGTCGCCGAGCTTAAGGCGGAACTAGAGGAGAGGGGACTAGACACGAAGGGCCTCAAGGCTGTGCTGGTGAAACGACTGCAGGAAGCCTTGGACAACGAAGCTTTGGCAGATGATGGTGAGTACCCTGAAGATTGCATGATATATCAAGTGGTGGCAGTTTGGAAAAATTAATGCTGCTAAGTTATGGTGATACTCCAGTCTGAAAAATGTGGAAGCAAGCTCGTAGAGGTGTTTCCACAGTGTTCCTTGACAGTTTCCTCGACAGTGTTCACCCATGCCATATACTGTGCTGATAAATATTTCCATTGATTAATGTGTCCCAGCCCTTAGGCACCTATTGCTGATCGTTGCAGTGTGCTGTGCAAGGGGGTGTTTTCTTGATTGGTGACCGTGGCGTGTGCTGAGGGGGTGGAATCTCTGACAACGGCTCCAGGGACGATTTAATCAAAGATCTTGAAATTAGTGTGACCTTATCATGTGTTAATTAGGGAGTTAAGACATCAAGAGGGAGAATGTTCCAATAATCAGTCGGTGACACACCAGGGAAATAAGCTAAAATTAGAGCGCTCTATTTATTGCTCCCGCTACTTCACCGTCTCCCATAGGGTCCTGTGTTGAGCTGGTGTCGAGGCTCTAAAAATGACGCCGATTTTTGCACCCTTCTCACGAAAACCGCTCGGACCGCCTGGAAACCAATTGTTCCGCTCTAAAAATTTCATGATCGACGGGAAAATGAATGAGGAAAAGATTGGTCCTGAAATAATTCTGAACTCCCTGTAGAACATATCGAAATATGGCTGCAAACTAGGAGCATGTCAAAATCGACAAAACAATACAAATAAACTTACCGGGATTTTTTTATTTTCCATGCATCTGTGTATGAAATCAGTCGGTTTTTCGGAAAGATCATCTTCTGTTTAATAAATAATTCCACAATTGCAATCGAGAAAAAAAAAACATTTCCGCTGTGACAGCAGTTTTGGCATTGTGCCAGTATTGTGGCGTGCGCGGTGCTGCGTGGTCGTCGGGACGGAGTTGTGAGTATTTTCGGTGTTTTAAATGGTTGATGGCCATTTGAACCAGCTTCATATTATTTCCTACAAATTTTTGCATCAAATTATTGCTTTGAAAGACCATTGAAACCCCTAATCTCTTCATGAAACACGATCATATTCATCGTCGACGAAAATGGCGCGGGACTCCATGTGCATTCCGATCGAAATAAATCGTAAATTAAATAATATTCGATGATAAGTATCATATTCTAGTGACACATTTTTATAAAATAAGGCATAAACTTTGCAAGGAAGTCAACATTGGATGATTGGATTCTTATTTTGCTCACATATCCTTGTAGTAGTCAAATGGCTCAATTGTTAGATAGATGGAAGTATATGTTTTGGCTTGATGTTTGCTGTGAAACCACCCAGCCACTTGCTGGTTGAGTGGTTTTCTGATAATTACCTGATAATCATTTCTCCTTTTCCTTAAAAGAAACTAAAATTCCTTTCAAAGTAATCCATTTTAAGGAAAGGCGGCTTGCTCATTGGCATTTCATGTTCTTGTTTTGTTATTGCTGGCAGTATTTTGATACAATAATGCAATATGAATTTTTTGCAATAATAAAACCTAAGACAAACTTAGTTAATGCGTCAATCAAACACCCAACAGGAAGATTGTGTGTCCTTGTGACGTGAAGTAGAATATTCTATGAATGTGTTATATAGAATATGCCAAATATTAAATTAATTATTATTTGATACTGATAGCTGAGCAGGTGAATTATGCCACAATATAATTTCATTTTCTGGTTTTGAAATAGCCAGCAGTATCTTACTTCAACAAATGTAATATACATGGAATACATGTTGTTATGTTACCCATGTTAAAAGTTTAATAACAGCCAACAGAAGGAGCTGTTTCAGCAGATAATGTTTGTACCTTATGCATTACCTTTCTTTTCTGCAGGACCATGCTTCCGCTGGGTGGTCGACATTTGCCTCCTGAAGAAGTTGAGCAACATGAAGACCACCAGATGAGGTGTCTGCAGTTCATGTGGAACTCTGCAGACTACAAGTGTTATGCCAACCACAACCAAAGTGCTGTGATCATGGAGGCATGAACCTCATGACAACACTTCAGATTTGCAGTTGAACCAAAGTGTGATTCAAACCACCTGTGGCATCTCACTCAATGTGTGAAGCTGTGAACAGTGTGATTATTGTGCAGTGTTCAGCTGCAACTAAGACATTTATTAGTGACTTGTTTTGCAATTAGCCACCAAAAGCATTTTTTGGGCTGGCTGCTGTAATTTGTTGTGCACTGCGCAATAGTGGTAGTGTTTTGTCACTTGTCAAGTTGTCAGTTGTGCATGTTGCATGTTTCTCTTCCCTCGGCCCTCATTATCAGTTAAGTGGTGAATTGGCATCACTCAGTCTCCCCAGATCTCCATTGACTGTCTGTCAACCACCTAACTTGAGATGGTATTTGCTAATAGTGTCAGAAAAGAAGTGATTGTAGACATTTTTAGGAGTATGAGCTCCGTTTCATGCGTGTTCCAGTGGTCATTTTGTCACATGTCCCATAGTGTAATAAATGGAAACTGTTGTTCCCTTTTGAAGGTACTCGCGGATGCAGAAAGCGTTGGGCCTAATTATTAAACGCACCCTCCTATCAGCGACGCACGAAATCGACAAATATCATCCTTTTTAGAACAGGAAGAAACGAAAACTTCTGAACATAGCTGTACCTACAACAGTGCATAAGGAATTGAAATCCTGGGAGTTTTTGAAATTCGGAGAAACTCCAGTTGTCGACAGGTATGCCCCCTTGCACGTCAAAGACCGCCTAAAAAACAAACGTCTACAAATGAAGGCAGTATTCGTATGTTCGTTGTAATTGCAGCAGCCTAGCAACATGTATTGCGGTCCGATGGCGAATTACACTCGTGCTCAAAAACTATGCCGGTAACTGCCAATGCACTTAGGTCATAGGTGAGGAGAGAAAGGGTTATGTCATATATCAACATCATAGAAATGGCTTCATCTGAGCTGTGCCTATTGTACGTAAGTCAACCAATCTATGCATTTCGTTTCTTGCAATCTACTCATGCTTTCACTCCAGCTTCAGAGTAATCATCCCATATTGTACGTCTTAAGATATTGATTTCTATGGCGGTTTGCAATTACTAGCCACGTCTCACCTCAGTTTGGTGGCCCCGCATCGGCCCACTCGGCCGCTCTAAAATTGACTTACGGAGGAGGATGGTAGCTTTTATTTTAGCTTCTCCGCCGACTGCGGGGAGCGCCGTCGCCGAGGTAGGAGCAATAATTAGCTTATGTTTGGGACTAATTTCCACGCTTAATTAACATTTTAATGTTATTTTAATTAATTCATGTTAATCTTTGACGCATTCTCTTTCTATTGATACCATCCACCGGTCTGAGAATTACTGCCTTGCTGCGTAAGGGCCGATAAAAGATCGCGCTTTTAGGGGTATCTCTTCAACATGGGGCAGGAGCAATAAATAGAGCGCTCTAATTTTAGCTTATTTCCCTGGTATGTCACCAACTGTAATCACATGACTTAAAATGCTCTCTGGCACCCTATTTTCAGATTCCACCTGCTGTGGCCTGCGGGTGCCCACCTACCTTTTGTTGGTCAGTGCTGTGTCAGTGTGCTATGCTGAGGCACCTTTCATTCAGTGCTGTGTGTTATGAGCAGGGATGTGGGGTCAATGGATTTTCTTGTGACTGACTGCAACCAAAGATTAAGTTACTCCAGCTCTGACTCCGGGCAGTCTTCAAGACGTGGCAGAGTTTGACTAGACTTTCGGGCAGGGGAAAATCCAGGCTGAAAAAATACATTTTATGCTGAAAACCAGCTTATGCTGGGATGGCGCCCAAAATTTCAGCTCACATTCGGCGTATTTTCACTCGTGCCAAATTCAGCGCATGGCGGCCGCTGAAATTTTCGCCGAATGGCGGCCACCGAATTCTTCGACACGCTGGTCAATCTAGCAGCAGATTCGCCCTACGGGCGGCTCTGGAGAGGGTTTGGGGTGAGATGTCCCCAGCCCCGGTCATCGCTGCTCCGACAGTTGTCGTTGTTTTCCCTCTGCTCAGTCGAGCGTAGCCGATCGGAGGGACTTGGCAGCGGCCGTCAGGACCGTCACCCTGTCGTCGTCTCGCAGGTTTTTCAGGTGTGGGTGTATAGTGGGAGCGGGTGCCGCAGTGGAAGCGGATCCACTGCAGATGGGCCCGGCGGCCCCGCTCCGCCAGCGTAAGCACTGCAGGGCCTGCCATATTGTGGCACCCAGCCGTGATTGCTGGGCCGCCGGTCCCGCGCGTAGGGCCGATAGGGCCGACTGTCTGTCTGTGCACAGCATCACCGAGTCGCCCTGGCCCTCTTCTTGGTGGTCCAGCAACCAGCTCAGCGCCGTGGCCAGGGCCACCATCTCGGCCTGGTAGCTGGAGCACAACCGGCCCGCCGCGGCTCGCAACTCCTGCTCTTCTCCCGGGCGAACCACCAGCGCGTCAGCGCCCCTATTGGTCACTCCACCCTCCGCCGAGCCGTCCGTCCAAATCCAGGTCTCGCACTGGGCTAGGCCTCCCAGGCACCTCTCCACCGTCCGTCTGGCGTCTTCTGTCCTCCGCCGACACGCCCAGCGACAGCTCGCCGACGACGTCCAGGGCCAGCGAGACACCGGCCGTGCCCATCCACGGCTGGGGCGGCGGGAGATCATCGGGAGATCAGCGGCCTATGCATGTATACGGCCTTGATCGGCTCGGTAGGGCTCGTCACACCGGCCGCCGTCCACACTTCCCGGCCCAGTGAACCCCATCCCCCGGTACTCCTGTATGGGATGTGTTCCAGTCTGGTCAGAAATCGGGGTAGCTTTTGAAAAGTCGGGGCAGACTTCGGCATTTTGGGGCAGACCGTTAGCAGTATGGGCGGGGTGCACATTACCGACGGGAAATAAAAAAGTACACAGTGTTGTTGAAACGCCTGAGAAAAAAAGTATCTGCGCCACAATCGTCTCTAAAGCGAAGAATTCGTCGATTTTTGTAATTACTGCCATATTCGAGTCTTCCCTTTATCAGGGCTGTGCATGTTTTTTATTTTGCTTTTGATAGTCGTTTTTTTCATGAATTGGCGAATTCCAACTTCCACTATAAAATTTTTTATCAGATTTCATTGAGAAAAGTAAAACTGTCATTGAAAAGAAGGTGGCCTTTTACGTAAAGTGCGTTACATTTCGTTAGCTCGTAGGTACCGTCAGCAGCTGTGGCCCGTGAGGGTCTTAGGCGTCAGGGCAGGCTCTTGGCGATTCCCTGACCAATCAGAGTAAGCGTTGTCCGATGCTCATTGGCTTACTTGTTAGTGACATCTCGGTAACTACTGGGCCAATTGCGCTGAAAGTTGGCATGTAGGTAGGCACCCACTGCATATCCATGTGCCACAGTTGGGGTGCTGCTGCACGTGCGCACGTGCAGGAGTCGATTCCAGATCTCGAGAACGGGTGAACCGATTGCGCTGAAATTTGGTACATGGTTGGGGACCGGTTAGTACGGTGCAGTGCAAAAGTCAGTTGGGACCCATTTTGCACCTGCGCACGTTCAGGGTACCGCTTCCAGATCTCGAGAACGGCTAGGCCAATTGCGCTCAGATTTGGCATATCGCCAGGGACCGGTTAGTAGCGCAAGTTAGTTGGTGGTACGCACTCGCAATTTCGCACGTGCAAGGCCCACCCTCTCGCTCGCTCCGTCGGTCGCCCCAATAAGCGCTTTACCGGTGAAAGTAAAGTTCATGTTAAAAATCTTTTTATCTGGCGTGAAACGCCATTTTGCGCGTTCCATGGCCTTGCATTCAGCATTGCAAATATGTTTTTTAAATAACATGCAAAAGTAAAAAACAGGTTCTGGCGCAGCTGCCGTTTTCGGCTTTTTCAACGAAAACATTCATTTAAAACAGCGGTATGACCTTAGCTTTTGACAAAGTCCCATTTTGAATGGTCAGCTACCATGATATTGTCAACCTGTTAACTCAGACTCGGGAGTCAGAGTCAGTGGGATTCCGGCGACTCCAGCTCTGACTCCGGGCAAAACTGTCGACCCAACCGACTCTGCAGCCGTGGTTGTGAGGGCGCCTCTCGTTGATGTGTGTCGCGTGCCACAGGCGCTGAGGAAGCCGACAATGCGGCCGAGGCCGAGGGCGATGACAAGCTGGAGGACACTGCCGAGGAGGCTGGCGACAAGCCGGAAGGTACAGTAGGTCTATTAAAAAAGTCCCCAGCACCAGTGGGCGCTGCCTTCGCTGAGCCGAACCCCCGTCTGCCTGTCCCATATCGCGCCGGCCTCAGGTCAGGTAGGGTCAGCGGGACCGCTCGGTCCGGCCCGCGGGCGGTGGACGGGCGGCCGGTAACGCTTTCCGCCAGCCAGCTGTAGAATCCAACAAACGGGACGGCCACCGATCAGCGCAGCGAAACCGGTGTTAAAGAATGGCAGTAGATGTTCATGGCCACAATGATTATGAGATAGTCATTGTTAGCCCGTGCCCCACAGGAATGCCTAGACTCTCACGCCCTTTTGGAGGGGAAATGGGGACTGAGCATCATTCTTATAACTCAGCTTTGGGCGTTTAAGTGGTATTCGAAGTAGCGTCAAAAGTAGCCAAAAGAAGAAAAAATACTTCAGCCAATTTTAGATCGGGTCAGAGCAAAAGATCATGTCACCAGTGGTCATCGATGGTAAAATTTTGCTTGGACAGGGTGCGTTGCGCGCACCGGTGCATTGGGTTTCCAATTTCCAAGGAAACATCAACAGACTCGGAAGCTCATAACGCTAGAGTGGAGCCGAATTCATATCAACCGCCGCAACAATGCATGGCAGCGCAGCGCAGCGTGCTGCAGCGCGGGGCCGTGAAACACCGCCCAGGGCTATCCATGTGTCAGGGCAATCCAACCCACGTGATGGGCTCGGCCCCAGCGGAGCATGAGCCCCAGGACTTCCGCCCAGGCCCCCTGTCTCCCCCTAATTCCTGTCATCCTTCCCACTCTGAAGTCGACCGAAAGAGCCTAACCTAACACAACAAGCAGCTCGTTTACCGCTATGTCTGAATAATATTGTCAGATTTAATTAAGTTCAACGGCTTAGCACGTAAATAACAGCAACTGCCACCATCGGTATTATGAGAAAACCAATTGCTTTTCCACAAACACTTTAAGTTTTAAGCTAAACTTGCATGAAATTAATTTTACCAGCCTCGTTCGTGTTCCTCTTATCAAAACACTTCGAATGAATCAAAAGTTGATAGTTAACCTTCGCCGGAACAGGCCATTTTGCGTCCTTCGACGGCACAAGGGGGGGGGGGGGTACGAGCCCCCCTCGCGTTTGGCCCCTGATTGAGCTAGAGCTTCGCAGAAAAAACGAGCGTGTTACTCGTCACGAGAGGAAGCCGACGATACACAATTTTAAGGTCCTAGGTCATCGGGTGACCTTCCAGGTCAGGTCAATGACCCGAAAATCGGGAAAATCGGGACCTGTTAGAAAGTCGTAGTGTGGCTGCTAAGGGGTTTTCCGGGGTGCTGATCACGAATATCGTGTTAGTTTTGATCAGTGATGATGTCTCTAAGCATATAGACCAGGTCGGGTCAGGTTAGGTCAGGTCAACCGGTAGGGGTCACGACGGGTATTCGTAATACCTGTCATCCGCCTCTGACAGCTTCGTAACATGTTACGAAGGCACCAAAACTACTTCGTAAATGTTCAAATGGTTGCTAAATTCGAATTCAGCTCCAAAAACTAGCCTAGAAACATGTAAGACTCGAAAAAGTGAACCGAGGTCACCAAAGGTCAATGACCTGACCTGACCTTCAGGTGACCTTGACACCCACCCTAATGCATGGGAGCAACATCAAATCACATGTTTGAACGTTTGAAACCACGCAAAGCTTGCAAACACGCGGCTAATGCGAGCCGACATACGCCGAATCGCGATTCCGGCCAAACATGGTCTCGGAAAAGAGGTTACAGGTCAAAGGTAATTTGGGTCAGGATCATGAAATTTTCAGGGTAGGTGTAAAATTGATCAATGCGAGGTTACTGAAAGCTTCGTCGCGATCGGTCGCTTTTTACGCGAGTTATTCGCGAAAAACCTTAGGGGGGGGGGGGTTGCATCAACCCCCCCCCCCCTGTGCCGGCGAGGGAGGTCATTTGAAGAATATGTTCTATGTTCTATGTTATGTTCTATGTTCAAAGACATGACCTGACCAGAAATGGTCGTGATGCATAGCAGGATATTAGATCCGTATCGTGGAGCTTCACAAACACTTTAGACGATTTCATAACTTAAGCATGTCTATCAAAAATATTTATTACGTGGCTCATGTGTAAGCTGGGTGTGTGATCATGCTTACGAGTATGTATGTTGAACGCAACTGATAATGTTCGGTTGGCCACAATTTATATATTTAATTTATTCTCCCGGATTTCATATTTTTATTAATGACTGACCACTTGACGATGTCGAGAAAAAAAAAACGTTTAGGAGATTTAACAGCCTGAGATACATTCAGTATAAGGAAGGGTCAAGGGTGCTAGATTCCTTCCGTCCTCGCTATCCTCAGGAAAACCAATCCGCATCGCCCCTAGTCTTCATGCTTCCCTCTCTGGACTGGAGGTCACCCCACCAGCCAAGCTGTAGTTGATGTCGGTTCCATTCCACGGACACATAATCCTCTTTGGGTGACCGTTAGGGAGACGGCTGGACCGCCCCGACAGGGCAATCGTCCCACGGGAACAGTCACGCTTCCGGAGTCCGCAGATCACTGTCGCTGGCTCGCACAACCAAATTACTACACCAGAGCATAGTTATGTCATAGCTCTTCAAGGGCCTTCTCAGACCGAAAAAGATGGCTCCTAACAAAACAAATAATTTCCTCATTCAGTATTGTATCTCATCAGGCACCACATGTTTTCAGAGTGTTTATTATGCGTTCCGTCCAAAAAAGCGCAGTTCAACTTTCTCCCAATGACTTTAGCGATCTCAAAATAGACCCCACCTTTCTGTCAGCAATGTCAAACTTGCAAAGTAAACGTTTCAAATACATATACTGTTGCCCATTGAAATCGCTGAAGGTTCTAAAGCGATCGGTTAGTCCAAGGGTTAGTCGATGTATTTAGATATGATGAGCACAGGAACTTTCCTTGAGGTAAGGTCACTTGACGTGACTTGGTGTTATGACCTTGAATTATTTGATTCGGCAAGTCTTGCAGAGTCCATTGATGGCTGTCCTGACTGGCTAGCTCATTTTGATCGGGAGTTATTGACGAAGCACTCCTATTGACGAGCACTCCGTCACGCAAGGTGAACAATGCAAAAGTGAAGCATTAAAGGGACCCTCCCACCTTAACATTAGTTTTGAGTTGAGATAGCCAAATTGGTGGCCATGGCCTGAAAATACCGGTTTGGGCATTCACAACATCGAAAAATGCTTTAATTCGGAGATATGGAATTTCAAACTTGCAGTTTTCGGATTCTAAGGGGCTAATGCATTGGTATGCCCCCTTAGAATTTGTGACGTCAGCGGATATCTAACGATTTTTAAATCTTTTACTAAAACGTTTGTCAGCACGCGGTGGTATATGCTGCTTTGCGCGCAACAAATGCCGCACTTTCAAATAAAGTCGCTAGGAACAGCGGAGATCCCAAAAAGTAAACAAAAGCAAAAGTCTAATATCTTGAAAACCGGTGAATATTTTTCGATGAAATTTGGTAGATATTCATTTTTGCTCTTTCTGAACCGAGCGACATCACTTTCATGCCAATTCATTAACTTTTTTGAAGGTGGGAGGGTCCCTTTAAACCTTGCCAAGAATGTATGAAGTCACGATTTCATGTGCTTGAGGTATAGTTTTAGGTCATTTCCGACGCCAAATTAACTGTTTCTATATTTTCCCATTATGCTTATATGACACTAAGTGGATTACGGATTTGCATCATTTTATAACCGACAACCGTGCAGTGTGCAGAGGTTTACTTAAGACGTCATAGTTAAGTGACCTGACATGAAAACGTGGTTGATTTCAAATGATCCGGCTTGAATCAAATGTAAGGCATATGAAATGTCAGCCTTCTATCATCAGTGTGCTTTGAGCTACCGCAAAAAAAAAATACATGGTGGCGGTATCCACCCCTTCTTCTTGGCTGGCGAGGGTTAAACCTCGCTTCGAATTATTGCAGATAATGATGCGACCGAAAACAAAGCATTTATCTGTGTCTAGAACGGCCGCTAACTTGTTGGACAAGATCCCCAATCTTAACCCATTTACGCCCTTCGTTGCGTTTTCGCAACGCAAGCAAGCGTCGACGTGATCGAAGCTTGAGAAGTGTGTAAAAGAGACTAACCGATGAGACAAGTTTCAGCGTGTGTAGCATGGTTGTGCGCATGATACTACGCAGTTACAAGTCTGTGCGGCCGGTAAGTTACTGCCTAGAGCTCCCAGAGGGAAGTCGAAGGTTTTGTGAGTGATGACGTCACGAAAACCAAGATAAGTAGGCTAAGTGCTTAATAATATCGTAATGAAAATTGTGTAAACATATTCTGCAGAGTCCCTACAATAGCGTAGATATGCATTTTGTTAAGAAATAATGCTACAAAAAGGGTTTGTGACTATTTTCAAATATGACTACGGTCGCGTTGCGGGAACGCAACGAAGGGCACATCGGAAAGACAGCGGTGTTGCGAAAACGCAACGATGGGCACATTGGCAGGGTAGCGGAAGTATGAGTATCAACAGTAGACTTCACTCGTGATACGCTGTGGGTTCTCTCTTTCTCTCCCCCATCTTCCTCCCTCTCCACCTCGTTCCCCAACTCTCTCCCCCTCTCTCTCTCTCTCTCTCTCTCTCTCTTTCTCTCTCTTTCTTTCTCTCTCTCTCTCATTTTGTAGCCATGAGGCTGTAGCGGCGGAACATCTTCAATTAAGGGGGGGGGGGGGAGCACTGCTGACTTTTTGCCCCGGTGCCCCCTCCCCCGCTCCGCCGCCTATGCCATGAGGGACGTATATAGGTATTAGGTATGTTTAGTGCAAGGTGCGTTCGCACGTAAAATGTTGCGACACATTTCATATTTGCTGGCTCAAACAGCCACAAACACTCCTTTCTTTTTCTCTCGCAGATTTTCGGCCTCGGGCTGTTCGTTCACTAAGCAATGTGTTCCCATGCATCTGAAAATCGCATGGTAGGAAAAGGACCCATGCATGAAACGGTCGGCGATGCTAACGGAGCTGAGAGATAATTAGGTCCTTTGGAAATTGGATCTACTATGTACATTGTGCATAAATAATGAATAACGGGGATGTATTCTGGTATCAGGCGACAGATAGGCATCGCCATTCTCTGGATAGAATCTGCTGACTACCAGCATTTACGTTAGAAAAGATAACTGAGGGTCGGCAAATAGTGGGATAGGCCCCCTCTGAGGGTAGCTGAGCCCTTCGGCAGGGGTAATGAGGGCGGACCCATGGGAAAATAATAATTTTTAGGATTCATAACTCGCATAGATTCATAAGCTGCTTGATGTGGAGTATACGCCTCTAATCAGACCATCTAATCAGACCATTTTTAGAGCTAGCAGGATTATTGGAATTAGGGGACACATTTGTCTGACCGGACACGGTCAATCGTAGACTGGAGACTGAGCCCAGCCAGTGGGCAGCCGCCACCCATGACCCACCCCCTTCCCCCCTCCCAAGCACTCACTGCACCCGGCTACATGCGCGCTCCTATGTGAGCTGCCCGATTGCGATATACGTTGCCGGTCCAGCCCGGAACAGGGGGATGAGGCGTGGAGGAGGATTCAACTATCCTGAAGATGGAAAGGACGGATTGACGTCGAATCACCATTCTCTCCTGGCATTGTCTCGAGAAAGAGGTTACACGTGAAGGTCGCTGAGAGTGGGGCCATGAAAATTTTGGATTAGGTGTAAACATGATAAACTGGGAGTCGATTTGTTGTGATGCGCTACGCCTTACGCGGGTAATTTGTTAGAGCCGGATCGGTCCTTTTTTCTTTTTGCTGAGAGTGGGTACGACTAACCTGCAATGGAATTTAACTTTACTCCTAGGAGGGTGGTTAAAAATGATTGCGGATATACGCGCATACGAGAGGCACTGGTTTACTCCCAATCCTCCGTTTAATTGTATTCAGTGTGCACTGTGCAGGGTCTGATAGGTGGAGGTAATGGATCTGTCTAGCTTCCAAAAAGAAAGCATCACCCTGGATACGTGTCGACCACAACTTTAAATGAACAGCAATGGACAACGTAAATGGTTGATAATGACCGTGTTGCCATCTCCCCGTTCGCGAATCATGAAGTTATGCTTCCTCACTGAGGCTCTTAGACGGGTTATAGAGCATGACGGATGTGGGTTCCGCATTTTCAAGCAATAGTTGTCAACAGTTGATTGATGTTTTGTCAAAACATATTAGCATATACGGCAGTTCAGTGTACTTTATGTCCGTCTGATGTGCCCGTCGTTGCGTTTTCGCAACGCTGATGGCGCCCGGTGTGCCCTTCGTTGCGATTTCGCAACGCATGTTTTTTACGTTTTTCTCGAGAAACTTTTGCTGCAGGCAAAAATTATTTTCGATTCCATACAAGGCCCTGGTAGGAGCATAACATATTTTGATTTCGTCGATTTTCATGATGGTCAATATTCCTGGGCATAAATGGGTTAATTTGCTAGATGGGAATAAAATACTCGGCATATGATACATGTAACTGTATACGCCTCGATTTGCCCTCGCGCTAAGTCATTCTAATAATCACTGTCGCTTTTTTATCCGAGATGATGTCGCTGCTAAACGGGTTGTTTTGTTTGCTTGCTTGCGTTGAATGGTCATTACGAATTATTGAAAGATTATGATATAATAGGAATGGGGCAAGGGAGGATATTCACTGCAGTGCAGGTGTTTAATTTAGATCACAAAGGCATCATTTCCGGCATCGTGCAGAGTCACTATCTTCCCCTCCTCTGCACTGCGGCATCTCTGCGCCTCACACACGGCGTCCTCACTCCACGGCCGGCCGCCGCCAACTGACCCACTCGCCGGGCGCGGCGACCTGACCCGTGTCACTGCCGCGGCCTGCGCAATAGAGTCGGGGCTGGAATCCGGGGGTTCGGCCGGCCGGCCGCCTCTGGAGCGGGGGACTTTTTTAGTAGACCTACTGTACGTGGACGCACGCAACTATTGCTAGTTTCTCAAAGTTCCTCACCTGCTGGCGAGCCATGTATCCCAGGCATGCAATCCATCTATCACTACAGGTAAGGGACCTACCTTGCTTATCGAAACATTCTGGTGAAACATTCTGGAGCCATGATATTCCTCTTCAGCTTGCTACAACCCACCATAATTTGCTTTGGTTTTACTGGATTTGCAAGAAATCCGCTTTTCTGTTTCATAAATGTTTCGTCAATTTGTCGACAGCCGGTGATCAGAACACAAAACATCACACGCTGTGAGCTATTGAGTTTTTTTACAGGAAATACGGCGTGCCTGACGGTATTCAGGGAGATTCATTTTAATTATTTTTCTGTCTTATCTTTCGCTCTTTTCCCGCCAGCCGAGCCGGAGCCCGCGAAGGAGCCTACTCCTGAGCCGGAGCCGGAGCCTACGCCCGTTCCGAAACCCGAACCCGCCAAGGAGCCCGAGCCTGCTCCCGCCAAAGAGCCGGAACCAGCTCCCGCCAAGGAGCCAGAACCGGAGCCGGAACCTGCCAAAGAACCGGAGCCGGAGCCCGCCAAGGAGCCGGAGCCGGAGCCCACCAAGGAGCCGGAGCCTGCTGCGGAACCGGAGCCGAAGTCGTCCCCGGCGAAGGCGAAGTCTGAGCAGAGCTCCCCGCAGAAGCAGGCGACTCCGGTGAAGTCTGAGCAGGGTACGCCGCAGAAGGAGGCGACGCCGGTGAAGTCCGAGCCGGCTGACAACGGAGCCGCCCAGGAGGAGCCGATGGACCAGTGAGTGTTGGGCGGTCGGCCTGGTGTTGACGGCTGGTCGGGACCCTTGCCGGATCAGGGACGGGGGGATGGCACCGGCAGCATAATAAATATTTATGTGATATCATTCGCATAGATCTTAGCGTAACGCCATGCCATTGACCATATTAGATCAGTCATACAAGTTTTATTGCATGACGATGTCCCCAGTGATCTCAGCTGATTGGAGCTGGTATAGAAGTAATTGTTGGATCGCGCCAGTCCGACACTGCAGTGGATCTGACCGGGATGTTTTCGTCCGACAGGTCGGAGGACACCTCCAAGGACGAGGTCAAGGTGGAGGAGATCCAGCTGGAGGATGACAAGGAGGCGGCCGGTGACGGGCCCAAGGACACCAGCTCCAGCCAGGGCGATGACGTGCAGTTCATCAAGGAGGAGGGCCAGCAGCAGCGCGGCACCAAGCGCGCCCGCTCGCCCGACAGGGACGAGAAGCGACGGTCAGTGAGGTGCCTTCTTTGCTACTCCCCCCTCCCCCCCCCCCCCCTACTGGGTCAGGTTGCTGCGGTGACGTCGGTCTGATGGGGTAGCCTCAGTGTCTCCTTTGAAGTAGTATGGAGTGAATCTGACTTGCATCTCAGGGCTTTTTGATAAATAACAGCAGCGATGCATTAAAAATACTTTCTTTGTCCGCACTGGTCTCTCGTTCTATGGTTGATAAACTGGTATTGACTCTCAACTGACCTCAGTTGACCTGCTAACGTAGCCTGCTCACCTGAGGCAGTGTCGGCGGTGGCTTTGTCATGCTGACATCTTCACCCGTGTGTCCGCCCGAGCAGCCGTCCGGCGACGCCGGTGAAGATCGAGGAGAACGAGCCGGAGTTCGACGAGTCCAAGGTGGTGCTGGACTGGTACAACTCGGACCTCAGCCTGGTGATCGACTCCGAGACCCGCTGCTCGGCCACGCCGCTCTCCACCGAGGGCTTCGGCTTCATCTGGTCGGGAGCGCGAGCCACGTACGGCTTCAAGGCCGGCAAGGTCTGCTTCGAGGTCAAGGTCAGTGCAAACTCTGCGATGGGTCATTTGCATTGAATAGTTTTGTTAGGCCTCTAGGTGTTTTTCAAGGGGGTCTCTGTCAGTGTTACGCCCAATACAAGATGCCCGGTAAATATATTACTTACTACAAAGTACAGATTATTAAAGGTAAAGATCCAATACAAGATGCCCGGTAATAGTAACCTGTCAGGGGCATTCCACGATAGATCGACCAAAAAAAAATTAAATTGACACCCTCATATTTTATTTTTCGCTCAAAATTGGTGTATAGGGTAGAAATGGGCGGGAAAGCCAGCTGTGGCAAGGATATTTTTTTTTGACCTACAGTTTTCGAGATATAGCCTCGGGCAATTCCTGGAGGTCACGCAGCAACCCTATCTTTGGCGGCTCATAACTCAGAAACTATTGATTTTTGTATAAGGATAACTTTATGTCTTCCAACTCAAAATTAACCAAGGAAACTTTTGGCTATCTCGGATTTTCGATTTTCGAAAATTTTGGTCACGTGACCTCTTGACCTATTTTTTGAAGAGTGACCTTGACACTTTCCCACCTGAAAGTTAAAATTTGGTCTGATGACGATTCAAGCCTTATCAATGGTCGTTCATATGCGACAATAAAAAACATGGCTATCGGCCTGCATTGACCTCAGGTCAGGTCATCTTTGTGACCTGCCCATTATAAGTCAATGGCAAAAGTACCGGCTAGGCCACTAAAACGCATCGGACTGGTACAGTTACTTCATAATCATACCATATTAGGTTATTATTGATCACTCTGGTGCAATTTTGCATCAGTGACCCGCGGAAAGGTCATCCGAGGTCACATTATGACTCACGACATTCATATGCCTTTTATGTCTATATCTTTTGATAGAATAGGTATAGGGATTTGGGAAACACATCAATTAGTTCACTTTGGCCAGGCGCATCATGCCATACGCAGCCTTATATGTTAAGGTCATTTCGTGACCTTGACCTAGGGTCAAATTTTGGTCAAATTTCATATTTGACCTTTCGAAATAAAAACTTATACAATTCGATCCGACTGGAAAAAGCAAACACGATGGCGCTATTTTATACATCTGACTTCATAAACATAATAAGATATTGGCGAAAAACGTTTTTATTCCGTGAAAAATGTTTATTTTCAGCCAGATTAAATAACAATATTTTGGCGTGGTAAAGGCATTCGAGGTGCATAGACACGTTGGCGTAAGTACTTATACCTAAGCAATTCACGCTCATATGACTCGGTGTTGCGGTCATTTCTACAGGTACCAATCTAAAAAAAAAAAAAAATAGCATAGGTAGATATGTGATGATCAGCAGTTTCGTACATTTGGCATGAATAATAATCACTCACATAAATCACTCACAAGCTCGCTTCGCCAGGGCCAAAACTGTGAAGGGGACGAGACAGTACCACAGATTCTGTCCAGTTGACCTGACCACAGTCCGCGTCCACGAGCTTTCAGAAGATCGGGAGGGCAAGGAAGTCAAAGTGTCTTAGATAAGCACATACAAAGTAGACGAGCTTGGAAAGTTGCACTGTTGGATCGGACCAATGTTGTGTTGTGTTGTTGTGAATATGTTGTCGGTTTGCTGTGTGCCGTGCGTGCCGATTAGGGTGTACATAGGAAAATGTTTTATGTGAGTGATTATTATTCATGCCAAATGTACGAAACTGCTGATCATCACATATCTACCTATGCTATTTTTTTTTTTTAGATTGGTACCTGTAGAAATGACCGCAACACCGAGTCATATGAGCGTGAATTGCTTAGGTACAAGTACTTACGCCAACGTGTCTATGCACCTCGAATGCCTTTACCACGCCAAAATATTGTTATTTAATCTGGCTGAAAATAAACATTTTTCACGGAATAAAAACGTTTTTCGCCAATATCTTATTATGTTTATGAAGTCAGATGTATAAAATAGCGCCATCGTGTTTGCTTTTTCCAGTCGGATCGAATTGTATAAGTTTTTATTTCGAAAGGTCAAATATGAAATTTGACCAAAATTTGACCCTAGGTCAAGGTCACGAAATGACCTTAACATATAAGGCTGCGTATGGCATGATGCGCCTGGCCAAAGTGAACTAATTGATGTGTTTCCCAAATCTCTATACCTATTCTATCAAAAGATATAGACATAAAAGGCATATGAATGTCGTGAGTCATAATGTGACCTCGGATGACCTTTCCGCGGGTCACTGATGCAAAATTGCACCAGAGTGATCAATAATAACCTAATATGGTATGATTATGAAGTAACTGTACCAGTCCGATGCGTTTTAGTGGCCTAGCCGGTACTTTTGCCATTGACTTATAATGGGCAGGTCACAAAGATGACCTGACCTGAGGTCAATGCAGGCCGATAGCCATGTTTTTTATTGTCGCATATGAACGACCATTGATAAGGCTTGAATCGTCATCAGACCAAATTTTAACTTTCAGGTGGGAAAGTGTCAAGGTCACTCTTCAAAAAATAGGTCAAGAGGTCACGTGACCAAAATTTTCGAAAATCGAAAATCCGAGATAGCCAAAAGTTTCCTTTGTTGATTTTGAGTTGGAAGACATAAAGTTATCCTTATACAAAAGTCAATAGTTTTTGAGTTATGAGCCGCCAAACATAGGGTTGAAGCGTGACCTCCAGAAATTGCCCGAGGCTATATCTCGTTAACCGTTCGTCGAAAAAAAAAATCATCGCCACAGCTGGCTTTCCGGCCCAAAACAACCCCCTAGACGAATTTTGAGCGAAAAATAAAATATGAGGGTGCACAGCTTTGGTCGATCTATCGTGGAATGCCCCAGGTAATGTGATGGTATTGAATCATTCTTCATTCTCTATAAGACACACCGTGTGAATTGTGCTTTGCATCGTTACTTGTTGATCGGCATAATCATTCGCGTTCTTCGTGTTTCAGATCACGAAGCACAACGGCGTGGGTCACCTGACGCAGGAGGCCAACCCGCATGTGCTGCGCGTGGGCTGGTCGCTCAACAGCGCCTCTCTGCAGCTGGGTGAGTCAAGTGACTGCTTAGATGCTGATCCGAATACGTTCTGTTGTCCGTCGAAGCCTGTGTCTGTAAACTGCGTGTACAGCGTTCGTTGCCGACATGACTCCATCGAGGAGCTGCTGGTTGGCTGATCTGTATCAGAGGGCTACAGACTTTGTAAGGTCTCCGGGGAAGTCGAGTGCTGACTGGGTGTCTCGATTGCCCTTTGGACGGTTGCAGTGGCACTGATGCGGCATATGTGTAACTATCTCGTTTCAATCCGTCAGGTGAGGATGAGTTCACCTACGGATACGGAGGAACGGCCAAGTTCTCCACCAACCTCAAGTTCAAGGACTACGGCAAGACCTTCACCGAGGGCGATGTGGTCGGCGCGTACGCCGTAAGTCATCGTGTTTGGTTATCAATCGTTCGTGTGATATGTTTTTTATTTGTGGATTCAGCTATATTCTCGCTCTATCGTTCGACACAATGTTTATTTGTATTTTTTTCTCCCGAACTAACCCTCGTCCTGATCGCGGCGGCCGACAGGACATCGGCGAGGAGACGGTCACTCTTCACTTCACGGTGAACGGCGCGTACCAGGGCGTGGCGTGCCAGATCCCACGCTCCGAGCTCGGCACCGACGCCGACAAGGCCGCCCTGTTCCCGCACGTGCTGTCCAAGAACTGTGCGCTGTCCGTCAACATGGGCCAGATGGAGGAGCCGTGGTTCCCGGCGCCCGAGGAGCTCCCCGACTACCAGTTCTGCCAGGCGGCGCCCGAGGAGAACCGCGTGCGAGGCACCGTGGGACCGAGCCAGCGCTCCGACTGCACGGTACGTGGCAGATTTTTGACAGGTAGATCAGTCACAGACAGTTAGACGGTCTGGTATAACTCAATTAGTCGAAAGTAGCCTACGTTACTGCCTACGTCGCTTCTGCGTCGCGTGGGCATTCCATGTCAACCGGGACAGCCAAAATCGGCCACCTCTGCGATTTTGTTCAAACTTGGTATACTTATTGGCTATTGGGTGAAACCTCTGAGGGTGAAAGGATTTTGTCATATGCCCTCGGGCTACAGAGATACAAGTCGCTAAACTTCTGCTTTTTGAGCAGAATTGGACATGTATTGCATTCTTGAAAGATCTATAGCTTCAACATTTTTGAAGCTATTAATTTCAAACAAACTGAGATGTGTACATAAGGAGTTATGCTAGTTAAATTTAACAATTTTTACATTTTTAGGTGATTTTGAATTTATTTTATTTTGAATTAATTTCTTAAAATGTAATTTGTGAAAAATGGGTACCCTTCGATTTTGCTCAAATTTAGATATTGTCTTCCACTACACGTAAGACACACGTGCTGAGAAAATTAGAGTGGGCCAACGATAACTTTGGATGATATAGCAACAAGTAGTACAACGTAGCACGGGCGGTGGAAGGGGCCGATTTCGCTAACTCCACCGGTTTATCACCAATAACTCACGCCATATTTATTATATTAACGTCAAACTTTCAGTATCTGTCCAGAATTGAATTGCGAATCCTCCCGTGCAAGCAATAGGTAAATCGGTCCACAACTTTTCTAGTAATAGCGGTATTAAGTCAAACATTCCTGCCGGAGCGGCGCGGCGACCGGCGTCGGCCGTTGCCGCCTGAATGGTAGACTGTGCCGGCGCGGGACGGTTCCATCTTTGCACCGCGCTTCTTACCGCTGATTATGATCGCCTCGTGTCAAATTTTGTGTGAAGGCTTAAAAATGTACAGGCAATCTATTTTCAAATAAATACGAAAATCAACTGGTAAAAATTGAATTATTAGGTTGCAAACACAATCTTAAATCTGTGACTGAATCGTTTCCCGCGTCGGCCGATCCCCGCCTCTGCCGGCGACATCTTACTCTTAGCAGGCCACTAACTGCCAAATTTATGGTAAGAGTAACTAGAGATTCTCATAACACTACAAATGTCGTATAAAGGAAGAAATAGGAAAATCGGCCAGTAACTCTTAAACCTATGGGCGTATAAACGCAAATAGTCACTATAGCAAACTTGATTACGTTTAACCTCAATTGATCAGCTTGAAGATATTGATCTAGGGCCATGAAACTTGCACACGATAAAGTTCCCCACCGCCCCACCTACAATTCAAATTCCGTTTTTTTTTAATACCTTTTCTGGCTTAACCGGGCCTTTCTCCCCTAGCGCTGGGAGAGTCAGGCGTATTTCCTTTTTGCAACCAAAGAGAGGCGCTGCCCGGAGAATGTCCAATTTCATCATTAAAAAAAAAAACTGGTTTACGATGACCAGCTATCTTCGTGGCTTAGTAGTAAGTGTGTACCCACCTCGAAATCTAAAGGTCACTGGCTCGCAGCCGGTCAGCTTGAAGTGTTTTAACACGCATTCGTTTTTTAAGTAGCATCTGGCCAGCCGGCAACTGTCGTGAGGGCTAATGTTCGTATCTAGGTAGCATTTGGCCAGTCGGCAACTGCCGTGAGGGCTGTACATATTTACGCGTGTTAGTTTAGGTCAGGTCACGTCAGGTCAGGTTAGGTTTGCTTTGGTTTGGGGTAGAAAGAAGCATCTCCCGTTAGCGCCTCTCCTTGGTTGCTAAAACGAAACACGCGAGTGCCAGACATTACGAAGTCCAAAAGACAGTTATGTAGACGTCGGCCCATTCTGGATTTTTTATATGATGTAGCTAATGTATAGGAGAATAAAATATGTAAAAATCAGCAAAATCGAAGGGTACCCATTTTTCAGAAAATCAAAATTTATTTTTGAATTTTAATTAAGTTCACTAATTAGTTAATTACGACAACATTGTTATCCTCAAATTAAAGCCTGATCTTTTCCCTCCATTTCACACTTTGTCTCGTGGTGATATGTCTAAAACTTCAATAGTTATGACGCTTTAAAGATGATAATGTGCCTTGCCTAAGTCAATGTTTGATGACGTGTATCTCGGAAACGTGACGTCATATTTTGACAAAAAAATGTCTCCTCTCTTTTCACATATAGATGAGTAGTTTCACAAAGTTTCGCAAAAATCGGAGGAGGTGAGGTTCAAAATGATCATTTTTTGTCCCACTTGACGTGGAATGCCCCCATAGCGATGTTGACCTGCGAGTACAGATTGGCCTTTTGTCTGGCGGCTGACTGTCTTGGTGCGTTTGCAGATGATTATGATGGTGGGCCTGCCCGGCTGTGGAAAGACGACCTGGGCCAACAAGTACACGGCTGAAAACCCGGACTTGAAGGTTAACATCCTCGGCACTAACTGCCTGATCGACAGGATGAAGGTAACTACCTCGTGTTGGGCCTGCCGTGCTGTTGAATCGACTGCCGTGGTGGTAATCAGTTTAGGCAACGGAGGCGCTGGTGTGGTGGCAGTTGGTGTTGGGAAGATTTATCTCGCCTTACCTCTAGTTATGCCCAATGTTTATTGATGGGCGGCGTCTCGGCTCTCCCAGTTTGCTGTTATTCATAAATTTGTTGGACGGTCATCTGGGACTTAGCTGCTCTGGACGTGTACCGACCCCTATGACCTCCGTCCGGCAGGTGATGGGCCTGCCGCGCAAGAAGAACTACCACGGCCGCTGGGACCAGCTGATCGCCATGTGCACCCGCTGTCTCAACACCCTGCTGGACATGGCCTCCAAGCGGCGCCGCAACTACATCATTGACCAGGTACGGCCGGCCGCCGGCGAGTTAATCCCGCAGTGGCAGAGCGGAGGGCACGGCGCATCGCTGAGCAGCTGGACAGGTAGGTGACCGGAGACAGGCGGCGCACAGCAACAGCGGCAGTCAACGAACAGGTGAGGTCCAGGTAGGTGTCTTTTCTGACCCTGCCTCGTTTCAGCGGCTCCACAACGCTACGATCGATCAGGTGAGTGATCTCAAACCCGTGCGTCCCTCAAGCACCGCGCACAGGTAAGCGGCAGAGCGGGACGGCGGAGCGGTCCGTCAGTGACCCGCGGCGTGAGGGCGGGGCGCCGGCCAGCGGCCTCGGCGGCTGAGCAGCTGCTCTGGGCGGGTGGGGAGGGAGGACGGAAGGTCTCGGTAGTTACGTGTCCAGTGCTGGGTCTGCGGTGGCGGCGGGGTGGATGCGAAGTGGCGATACACCGACCCAGAGTCGGCTCACCGAGCGGCGGACTGCTTAGACTGTTTAAGAGTGTGTCGGAACTGTAAGCGTCAGCTCACCGGAGAACGGTGGAACTATATAGACAGTGACCGTCGAAATGTGCGACCAGTGATGTGTCCTGGGCTGACTAGTGACGGTATCGACTGTCGAACTATGCTCGGGGCGCACCTTGCGGTCCTGGCAGCGTTTGTGTGCAGTGTGAGCGCCGGCCGAATGGCACTAGTGAACTGTAGGCGCCAGTGAATTGTGCGGCTGTGTACTGGACCTGGGGCCTGCCGGCGGACCGGAGATGGCGATTTATCCGGTCTGGAGACTGACTGTGGCACTGGCGACGAGGATGAGACTTTGCCATGCGAACTGTGGTGACTGGCGAACTTTGTCGACAGGAGGTGGCGCGGGCATCACCGAACTTTGTGTCTGTGCCGGCTGATGGGCCACTTGGGCGATGGTGGTCCTTTGGTGTTCGGTGCGGGGACTGAATGTGTGGGCCTGTGTTGTGTGTCATGATGTACCGGCTTTACGCTGGGAACTCCGTGGACATCCGTGAACTCCCAGCCTGTCTGGATCTGGGCAGCATCCGGTCCGGGGCTGGGTAGTGGCCTGCTGCTGACGGTGACGCGCGCAGCACAATGAAAAGCATCGTGGTGGTTGAGGACAGGGAGGGAGGACTTAGCACTGGACACGTAACCGCAGAGGCTGGACGTCGGGGATGTGTGCAAGGTGTGAAATCCGCCAACTCGTAGAAGTAGCCTGTTCAATCAGCGTATTAAATGAGTGGAAAGGGTCTAAGTAGGGCTGGGGCTCGACATCTAGTGGGCCCTTATGTGGTGCTGGGGGGGGGGGGGGGGCTACCGCAAGAGGCGGGCAGCTATGCCTCAGGGTTACGGGTGCGCGGTACGGGAAGCTCAACGCTGAGCGACACTCTGCGGCGGACGCAACCGGCGGGCGTGTGGGATGGCGAAGCGCGTGCGGAAGAACGCTGTACTCCAGTGAATAGGTTCGCGAACGGATGGCGTTTAGCTGCGCGAAGTGATGGCCAGGCGAAGGCCCAAGAAAGTGCTGCGAATGATCGGCCATGCGATGACCGAAAGACGGCGGCGTGCGAGGCGAAGGCCGGGCGAAGGGCCGGAGAGTAACGACGCGAGCAGACTGCGGAACCGGAGAAGAGTGCCTAGCGTGCGAACAAGCGGCCAGGCGAAGGGCCGAAGGACATGGCGCATGATGCGGGCGTTGGCCAGTTGGCGCCACTCTACCGTTGGGCGCGCTCGGGAGCGGGGTGGGTGGCCGGACGCGCGCGCGCGACTGGCAGGTAAGGCGGGTAGGGTGGGTCGGTCTCCCTGCTGCGGCCGAATCGGTCCGGCTCCCATCACAGTGTCGCTCATATCGTGCCTCGCAGACCAACGTTTACCAGTCGGCGCAGCGGCGCAAGATGCGCAACTTCGCCGGCTTTAAGCGGCGCGCCGTGGTGATCGTGCCCACGGACGAGGAGTTCAAGAGGAGGATCGAAAAGCGCACCAGCGAGGAGGGCAAGGATGTGCCGGACTCGGCCGTGCTCGAGATGAAAGGTACGTATGTCGGCCGCGCACGTTACGGTAAGTGGTGCCGCCGCTGGCGCCGGCGCCGAAGCGACGCTGGCCCGGCGGCGGCCTGTGCTGTCCGTCTGTTTGTCTGTCTGTCTTGTGTCAGTGATTCGTAATGCTGCTCTCGCCCAGTCCTGGTCCTGTGTCCTGAACCTGGATATATTCACTCTGAGAACGGGCGCCGACGCTCCCCGGTCCCTCAGCCCGACACAGACACTGTTCACAACTGACAGGGTGGGTTAACTGACGATTGGATCGGGAGGACCGTGCTGCTATCCTCCCTCGCAGCTAAGATCGGCATCAGCGAAGATCTGTTGCTAGGTGAGTGAGTAGATGCGTCTGTGATATAGGTGGCGTTTCCTCTTGTGTTTTGGTGACTGGCTGTTTCGGCAGCGTTGTGACTCCACGACTGCTGTTATGTTTTCTTTGTGACGTCATGGTCTTGCATTGTGTTTCATCGATCACCAGATATTTATTGAATGAAGCGGCACATATAGAAGTATATGTGCGTTCGAATTCGAGCGCAGTCGAAATGAATAACCTGGGAATACCATACCTGTTAACGAGTTCTTCGATTTGTTATGGTGATACAGTATCAAGACAAAGGTTAACAAGGTAAGCATGAAGTACCAAAACATATAAAGAATTGAGAGGGAAAATCCGCCAAGCAGATTGTGTCATCTTGTTTAAAGGGGTAGGTACTATGAACACAAATGTGTTTTACCGTATTCTTGGTCTGACTCTGGGATGTTTTCGTTATTGTGGTCTGCTAGCTGCAGCCAATTGTGCAGTGGGATGTCCTTTTTTGACGAAGGGGACTCCACGGTCCTCAAGGTCTGAGGCTGCTTTGTCCTGATATTTGATGAATGTCTGATTAAACTATAAAGGGAAGTAAGTCTCCAGTTGATAATATTTGAGGAACGGCGCCATTATGTTACTGAGACTAAGGCGAAGAAGAATTTTTGGCACACAGTGGGGTATCCCAATTTACATTTTTATCTGATTGGAAACCTAAGAATGACTTCAGTGGACCATCTGTTTTCTGACATACGTTTTGACATCAAGGAGCAGTTTGTGCCAAGAGCTTGAAATCAGTCTTTGGTGTTTTATGAACCTGGAAGTATGGCGTGGGTTCCCGTAGCCCATGATATTGCCGTCTCTGTGGCCAGTGATGCAACTTCATACGGCGTGACGTGATTTTTGAGTTAAGAGTGGCTGTTAGCAGACCGATTTTGTTGCATTGTTGAAGGCTGATTGACACTTGCTTACCACGAGATGCATGCGTCTTGAAACATTTTGTTTGTGAAGCACTTTATCAAGGCACTGATCACCTGTTCCAGGCTATTACTGACCTTACCACCCTCCTGTCAGGCTATTGGAGGTTATCTTTTCCGCTGATCTAACGCAAGTCTCAGCACAAACGATACTCTTGGATGACATGATCGTCCCCGGACAGACTGGTCCGCTCTTCATATTGTGTCGTCTTCCTAATAACCAACGGTTTGTAGTAGTGACAATATTATCGCCTTGACTTTTTCTGCATTGCGATGTTTTAATGAGAATGGAAGCCGTTCCCATTTTGCTGGTATATTCGTATGCGCGGGGTTTGAGGTGCATAGGCTGGAGCCATGCACTTTGACGCTAGTGGCATTGTTCATGCTAACTTAAACATTCCCAGTGTTTATTCCCGCTTCATTGACCATGAGAGCGTAACAGGCACTGTCCGTTGCGGAGGACGAGAGACCAAGGCCCGGTGGACACACTAAGCCACCGTCTGGCGCGCATGCCAGGCCCCCTAACGCATGCGAGTCGGGAGTATTAGGCATGACCCACACGTCAAAATGCACCCCGCGAATCACATTTACACACACGCAGACGAACATACATTACACACCAATGAAAGCCCACCGTCCATCCCCTCCCCTCCACTCCCCAACCTAGCGTCGGCGCCCCACGCTCGCCCGGCTCGGTGTGTAACCGTCCCCCGTCCGCGGCCGCCGACAGCCGCCTTCAAGCTGCCTGAGGTGGGAGAGTATCTGGACGAGGTAGAGTACCTCGAGGAGCAGCGAGAGGCCGCTCAGGAGCTGGTCGACAAGTACGCCAAGGAGGCGCGTGACGCCGGCTACCTGCCGCCCTGGGAGAAGAAGGGGCGCTATGACAACCGGAACAGCGGCGGTGGCGACCGTGAGTTGGGCCGGCAATTAGGAGGGGGTTTGGTTGTACCGGGGAGGGGTCTGTGACTGCTTAGGAGAGTGCCTGTGTTTCGAACACTGGTGATGATAGGGCACTGACTTACTGCAGCATCCATGCGTATTGTAAACGCAGAAAACTGCTGGACTAGCGAGAGGCTTCGCTTGTGTCATCATCTGAATATTTCTCTAGGTGGTAGGCACTTGAAAGTGGAACAGGCATTGCATATTTCAGATTCCCCGCTAGGTGGGTGAAGTATAATTATATTGCTTGCCTTAAGGAAATAACTATTAACATCCGAAGTGTTTCATTGGTACTTTTTTCTAAGTGGTCTGTTACCTGTCTATATGATCCGCACAAAACTGACCCCGCCGCTAACCCGTCACTCCCTGGCGTGTGCAGGCCGCGGCGGGTTCCGCAGCAACTGGGGCCACCGCGACCGTCCGGGCGGCCCGCGCTACGACCACCGCGATAGCCGGCCAGGCAGCTGGCGCGACCAGCGCAGCAGTGGCGGCGGCAGTAGCTGGAGGGACAACCGGCGCGGCGGCGGCGGCGACCGCGACCGGCGCAGCAGCTGGGGCGGCCGCGACAACTACCGCCAGGGCTCCGGAGGCGTGAGTGGCGGGAGGGGGACACAGCATTGTTTTTTCTTGTGACCTGGTGCTGAGACGCTTCTTCAATGCCACCCTTATGAGGATGGTGGATGTCTTTTTTTACAAACTTCATTCTTGTCAGTGGGGGCATTTCCTGTGATATCAATCCAAATTCACGATTGATTTTATGATTGGTATTAGATAATCCTCTTCTTTTTCTCGATACATTTTGAGGTTCTGTGCTCGGTGCACACCCTGATGACAGTCCTTGCGGCTAATTATTGTTGTGTTGACTTTAATTGGTACTCCTTCGCACACTGACGTGGGGTGAGGGATTTTTGGTACCTAACCTGTCCATGTGTTCCTATGTATGTCAGTGGGGCCAGCAGCCGCAGCCGTGGTCTGGCGGCAGTTACCAGCAGCAGTGGGGCAGCCAGCAGTACGGACAGGGCTACGGACAGCAGCAGCAGCAGAGAGGCTACGGACAGCAGCAGTGCGGATACGGATACGGACAGCAGCAGGGAGGCTACGGCCAGCAGGGCTACGGACAGCAGAGCTACGGACAGCAGGGCTATGGTCAGCAGGGCTACGGCCAACAGCAGAGCGGCTATGGCCAGTACTACCAGCAGGGCTACGGACAGGTACGTGCTGAAGGCGGGACTGTGCGGTCCACAGTCAGGGGGCGCTCTGCTTGCCTGCCGACGATGATCGCGTTGTGCGACCCGCGTGGTATTGGAGGGAAGGGTGCGAGTCGGGATGATTGCATGGGATAGGGACTACGGCACTAGAAAGTGATGGTGATAAAATGCAGTGATGACGAAGTTGTGATATGTGGGGATTTGAACTGCTATCGGCCATCTGACTTGCTGACTCGATGTCGCCAGCGTTAGCTCTCTCAGCTGACCGCCCAGTATACCTGACTCCCGTATGCTGTATTGATGCCTCTTTCAGCTGTTGTGTTGGGTTCACTACTAGCATGCAATCCAACATGAATTGCGATGTTCCAAGTGACCAGTATCGTTCCCGCTGGGCACGGTGGGACTTGAAAAGCTTGGAACCTACCGACTCGGATCACGATTTGTGAAACGAATCACAAATCGTTTTTTTTTTTTTAGCTTACCCTATACTGAGCATGGTATATAGGGAGAATACAATCAAGGTTACTACGAGTCTTGTAATGTGTCTTGACCTGGTACTTTGTCATTTGTATGCAATAATCGACATAATATAGCCCTTTGATCTGTTTTGTCTGGACTGACTGAATCCCTCGCGCTAATTTTCCTCCGCCGATCCTGTCACTGACCTAACCCCTCGACCCCACAGAACTATGGCGGTGGGTACGGTTCCAGCGGCCACTACGGCCGCTAGGGCGCCGCCTGCTGCTGCCCTCTGCGGGCCGGCAGAACTGCCGCCCCCTGTCGACCGGACTCTACCGGTCCTCAGAAACAAAGAGCGATGGCGAGCGGAGAGTGGCCTACACCTGAGACGCGTCGGTGTTTTAGTTAGCGCTCGCGAGCATAGAGACGCGTCCCGTTCGGTCGGCTTCGTGCTTGAATTTGTACCTGTGCCGCGGCTGGCATCTGCACACACACGCTGCTTGTGTGAGCGGCGGTGGAACGGTGCGCCCGGGTTGAAACCGATACCGCGCCGGCAGCCGGACAAAGATCATCAGACGTTTTTACTCTCAGCACTCGGTCTGGACTAATTTGGATGTTTTTAGCGTTAGTACGTGGCTCCAAGACTAGGAGCGGGGCCGGCCCCACCGGTGGCCGGTCTCTCCCGTGCGTGCGTGTGTGTATATGCATGCCATGATTACCCCCTGATCGCCACCCCCCTCAGACGGACCCCGCGCGGACGGTCAAGTACAATGTTTGGATCGGTGCCGGTGTCGCGCGGTACATTCATCATTACACGGAACTCCCATCATTATGCCTGTGTTTTGGGGGATTGGACGGCGTTGGGGACTTGAGTGGAGGAAAGGAAGGTATATGGTACGTCTGCTACAGACTGGCAGCTCACACCGTCGGCTGCTGCAATAGACGGCTGCATAGCACACGAGCGGCTGCGATACAGAATGAGACGGCTAGAGGAACTCTAATCACTACAGACTAGTTACACCAGCTACACTACCTACGGACCACACTGCATCGATGTTTTCCGTATACACGGCGCCCGTAAGGAGTCGAGCATGACACATGCACTATGAGGTGCCCGACTTACTTTATCGTTATGTATGTACAGGTCTCGCGGGTTTTAGCGGTAGGTCGCTCGGCGGGCGGGAGGGCAACTAGTTCCGCCCCTGTATCGGCGACCCTTTGCTCCGCCCAGTTACGCACGAGTGTGTACTACATCACGTAGTAGCGTGGGGGAGGGGAGGGTTAGGGTGGCAGCGTGTGTAGAGGCTAGAACCGGTTTCTACCGCCTGGGCCGGCGGCCCGTCATGCGGTCAGGAGACAGGGAAAGGTCAGAGGTCTCATACAATGTGCGGTGCTGTGCCCCGTCCTCTCCACGTGCTGACCAGAGCACGACCCCGTCCGTTGGCCAATCGGTGTTGAGCGGTCAAGGTCGCCCGTAGCCAGCGGGCGGGGTGAGCCGGCAGCGTGCCGATCCAAGGTCGCGAATAGTATTAGCCGGTTACCAATGGGGCCGGCAGACGACTGTTTAGCACTGTTATTTCTTGGGGACGTTTCTGCTAATTATCCGTGACTTGATGAGGCCGGATATCGTGTCACACTACAGTTTTATTTTCTGCTGCACTATAGTTCCAAAACTACCAGACACAAAGCTTACCGCAGAAAATGTTGTACCTATGGATTCTTGACATCATTTTTAATTAACCCGCGCCCTGCTGGGGGTCCTGGATTTCCACGCCCTGCTGGGGGGGGGGGGGTGTTTGAACACCCCCCCCTTGTAACTCGGCTCCTGGGCCACGTAGCGATACGCGGAAGGCGGCGTTCGAAAGAGCGTCAAAAATAATGACGAAATCACTTCGGTCAATTTTTTGGTCAGGTCAAAGGTCAGGTCACCAGAGGTCATTGAAGGCAAAATTTCGCCGATTTCCAGGTCGAATGTCGAAAATTTCCAAGAAGCCAACGCATAACTTGGGAACCAATAGAGCTACAGCGCCGCGAAAAAGCGCATTCGATAGCCCTATTAACGCCCTTTCTGAGTAATTCTCTCAGATTTGACCTAACGTCAACGGTTTTGCCTGCAGGGGGCAAAAACTGCAAAAATAGCCGATTTTTTCGAAAACAGTTTTTCTGCAATAACTTTTGACCCAAGCCTTGTACGAGCTTACTTTTACCGGCATCGTGTTTCTCTCGTCAAGACGCATCGAATGAACTATAACTTGACCTTGAAAGGTCAACTTGAAAATTTGACCTCAGGTCAAGGTCATGACCTGACCGGAAAGGGTCATGTTGCATATCAGTCGATCCGTATCGTCGAGCTGAACACATCTAAGGCGTTTTCATCGCTCTAGCATGCCTCTATCAAAAGTTATTTGCGAAAAACTGTTAGATACCATTCGTGACCTAAGATGACCTCAGGGCATAAACAAGGGTCACGGACACCATTTTCAAGTTCAGTGTGTCTAAACCACTTGTAATTCGGTGTTTGGGAGTGTTTATAATGTCTTTCATCCAAAAGAGGCGCATTTCAATTTTCTCCCATTGACTTATAATGGGGAGGTCGCAAAATTGACCTGACCTTAGGTCATCGATATCAAAATTCTGAGATAAACATTTTGTACATGCTATTGCTCTTAGCAATCGTTGAAAGTTTCAAAGCGATCGGTCACTCGGTGTAGCTATGACAGACATTGAAAGTTTTTATGAGGTGAGGTCACTTCAAGTGACCTGGTGACCTGACCTTGAATGACCTTGGTCTGAAATTTTCACAACATGTGTAGAATTGATGTATGATAAGGTGTACCAAAAACGGCGGCGCTCCGCGCCGCCGTTTTTGAGATATTCGCGAAAAACCACAAGGGGGGGTGTTCAAACACCCCCCCCCCCCCAGCAGGGCGCGGGTTAAAAGATAGGCATTTGGGTTCTAGTTACACCAATGTTATTTGTTGTTAGCTTTGTAATTTTTAAAGCCAAATCCATATGAGTCGCTTGATTGAAGCAAAAAAAAAAATGATAGGAGATAAATATGCCTTAGCCTTCGACTTTTAGGGGGAGAGTGGTCCGAAACGACCTTTCTCCCTTTTTCAATCCATGTCTCCCTAAACTATTGTAGATATCGTCAGTCGTCACCAAACTTTCAGGGACCCTCTGGGCATCAATTTTACACCATGCGGAGCCGTCTCTTTCCAGAGAGTATGATAGGTTGGCCAAAAATGACGTCAGAATAACCTCATGGGTCTGCAATTTTCGACAAAAAAAAAAGAACTTTTGCGGGAATAGCTGCCACGCCTACAGTTTTGAACATAGATAAAAATGTGTAACACAATAAGATGCATATCATTAAAGCATATTATTTCAGCAATCATCATATTATTTTCCAAAAATAACCGAAAGTTTTCTAAACTTCGAGAAAATCTTGATGTTATAGAACCTAGCCCGCGCCCCGTAGGGGGAACGCCCCCTTGTCCTTTTCCGTATAATCTCCTAAACGACTGTAGATATCGTCACCAAACTTTCAGGGCCCCTCCGGTTATCAATTTTACACATTGTGACCAAAAATTTATCCAGAGGCTATGATAAGTTGGCCACAAATCTGACGTCATGTTCTGCCATTTTCAACAAAAAAAAAGGTTTCGCGGGAAGCGCTGTCAGGCCTACAGTTTTGAAGATAGGGAAAAATGTTCCGAAAATACTCCGGCCTCAAAAATCGACTCCGACTCCGACTCCGACTCCAGCTCCGACTCCGGGCATTTCCCTATAAGTCCATGTCATGATAGAAAAGTTCATGTCGGAGGTCTCTTTATCTTGCCTGAGACAATCATTCGCGCGTTTCATGGCCTTACATCGCAGTTATAGATACTATAAAAATAGCATTCAGTACCATAAGCAATTTCTAGCACAGCCGGTCTTCTGGTTTTACGCTAAAAATGATCGTCCAAAACAGAAATTTTGCCTTAGCTTCGACAAAGTCTGGTTTGGAAACATCAACGAGCATAATATTTCCAAGCAAACATGTGCATGGCATGACTTTGAGCTATGCCAAATTAACTCCGACCCCCGAGTCGGAGTCGGTAAGATTTTGGCGACTCCGACTCCGGTCAAAACTATCGGCTCCGACCGACTCCGACTCCGATTCCGACTCTGCAGCCCTGGCCGGCTATCCAACGCCGTTTAAATTGTGAAAATCGGCCGGTAACTTTCCGAGATCTTGGGGGCGGGGTGAAACGCCCCCCCCCCCGCCCCACGGGTGGTAGGGTTCAAGATGTAGGGTCCACCGATAGCCCTACGGGGCGCGGGCTAACGCGGTCCATCGATATGCCAATTATCAGATCAATAGCTCGACTTTTTGGAAAACTTATGGTGAAAAAAAATTCACAATTGACATCAATTTGTCAAACTCTCATTTTCGGCCGATCTATGCCGATCTATGGCAGCTACGATTTTTTTGTGTGTTTAGGCATACGTGGCGATCCGCCACTTATGGCGAGTTATTCGAGAAAAATGAGGGGAGGGGTTCGTTCGACCGTCCTTTCAAGTGCAAATAATAATTGTTATAAAAACAGTAACATCGGAAAAATACAATTCATTGTATCTTTCTCAATAAATTATTGTGGATTATTTCGTAATGATAGATGCATTTTAATAAGCAGAAGATATTTTTAGTTGATCTGAGGCCAGTTTTACCAACAGCAAAATCGCCGGCTGCCGGAATATTTTGCCAATAGCGGGTCCTTTTTCCTATAATTATGTATTATATATTTAGGGGTTATAAGTTGACCTTGAGGGAGGCTTCTAAAAAAAAAAAATACTGGCAGCCGGCTATTTTTCTGTTTGTAATACTGGCCTCAGCACACTTCCATTCTATATTCTATGTATGCCTTAACCCTCGCCGGACCTATTGGTTTTCTACATACGCGCCGGCCGAGGGGGGGGGGCGGGTACGACCCCCCCCCCCTCGCCGTTTCGCCCCTGGTGGAGCTAGCGCGTCGCGGAAAAAACGAGCGTGTGCGCCGTTACGAGACGCAGGGATTGGTACCCGATTTTAAGGTCCTAGGTCAACCGGTGACCTCTGAGGTCAGGTCAAGTGCCCCAAGGTACGGTTCAGTTTTTGGTGAATAACTTCGCAAAAAACGGCCGCAGAGCGCCGATTTTGGCAGCATCGTGTTCGTCTCGCTCAGGCGCGTCGAATGATATATTTTTTGTCCGGGTCAGGTCAACTTGGGGTGTTGACCTCAGGTCAAGGTCAGGTCAGCACCCCCAGGTCACGAAGTTGGTCGAAAGAGGTCATGTCGCATATCATTCGATTCGGCAGGCCTTCCTGAGTCCATTGGTGGCTTTCCCGACTCGCTAGCTCAATTTGATCAAGAGTTATTGACGAAAAACTAATATGACCTTGATGACGTCATAAATGACGTCACGCAAGGTCAACATTGCAAAAGCGACGCATCTAACCTTGCAAGGAGTGCATCAAATCACGATTCTGTGTGCTTGAGATAGTTGGAGATCGTTCCCGGCGCCAGAATAGCAGTTTTCATTTTCCCCATTGACTTATAATGGTGAGGTCACGAAAATGACCTGACCTCATATGACCTTTAGGAAAAATCCGAGATATACAAGTTGTGGGACTCATAATGGATACTAGATCCTGCAAGTTTCATTTCCCTGTGACATCTCCTCTGGCAGTGAGGGCGTTGCGAAGTTGCGACATCTGAAGACCGTGCAGAGGTTCACTTATGACGTCATAAGTCAGTGACCTGACCTGACCCAAAAATGCGGTTGGTGTCAAAAGATCCGGCTTGG